AAAAAAAAAAAAAAAAAAAAAAAAAAAAAACAGAGCTAGTCCCTTAACACGTGTAGCAGTTGAGAGTTTATTCTTAGATAACATCACAGCATGGAACTCAGAAAGGGGAAACTCAGCTAACCAGGACAGGAATTATCCTTGAGCTGAGCCTGAGAACTCGGGGCTTTTCAGCCTCCTGCCTTGCTGCCAGCAGCACTAGTACATACAGGGTCCCCAGCAGTCAGAGGTCTTGGCTGTGGCTGAGCTCACCATGCTCTTTCTTCTTTATCCTTTCCATTTTGTGATGTAGGAACCTACCAGATGTGTCTGCTGAGGACTTTGAGAAGGTTGATCTCACACGGTTCAAGTGGATCCACATTGAGGCAAGCCCTGTCCTATCTATTTCTAGATAGAACCTGTTCTCGCTCCTTCTTGGTTTCTCTAAACCATGAAGTACCTTAGAGATAAATGAATCCAACCCCCCTACGTTCCCTCTGCACCCTTCTTTATGTTTTCAGGTGAGGAAAATAAGGCCCTGAAAGGCTGAGTGACACCACAGGATGTAGGCATAGCTGGTGTAGGCGCAGCCCAGTGTTTTGTTGTTCGTTTCTTTGTTATGGCTGCCTTACCTCCTCCACCTCGCTTCTGGCCAGAGGCTGGCTCCTTAGGGCTTAACCTGCTTTACCTCTGAGGAGGTGGAAATACGAGGGCTTGACCCAGCTTCCAAATAAACGGAACTAGAACTTTTGCTCCAAGGGACAAGTTTTGGGACCTGGGTCAGAAGAAACCATGGGAAGTCCTGAGTTCTAATCCTATCCCTGTCATTTAATTTCCTGTAGGTCGTTCAGAGAGTCTTTTTTGGGGGGGCGGGTATTAGGACTTGAAGTCTGGACCTCACACTCACCAGGCAGGCGCTGCACCACTGAGTAAATCCCCAGCCCCTAGAGAATCTTTTTTATTCTTTAGTCTCCTCGTGTGTGAAATGGGACAGTGGTTGATAAGGTCTTCAAGGTCCATGACAGCCAAGAATTTTGTAATTTAAGATAGGTTCTAGCCCAACCTCCCAGGTCCTCTCCTTCCTCACCGAGTTCCAGCAGGGAGCGAGGAGTGAGCGATCAGCTGGACACTGAGCTCTCCACCCCGCCCCACCCCAGGGCCGGAATGCCTCAGAGCAGGTGAAGATGCTGCAGCGTATAGAACAGCACAATGCCAAGCTGCCTCCAGAACAGCAGATCCGGGTGTCTGTGGAGATAGAGAAGCCCCGGGAGGAGCTGTTCCAGCTGTTTGGCTACGGAGAGGTGGTGAGTGCCCTGGCAGCATTAACTTGCCATGTCCAAGGAACTCAGTTCTTAAAGGGAGTCAGAGACACCGCTGGGCTTACCTGCCAGGCTCCAAATGGCAGCTCTTGAGCAGCAGGGGTGTAAGGTGGCAGAGCTCCAGCTGTGAGTCTTGCAGTGACCAAAAAGGAGAATTTTTCTGCTCCAGGAATAAGGCTTCCCAGAGGGCCTGGTCAAAGACCAGGTGGCCACAGGCATCACCTCTCAGGGCCCCCTCCCTTCCTCTGCAAAATAAGGGCATCACAACTGTTCTCTGAGGTTGTAAGTCTCTTCCAACTGTGGGGGTGGGGGAATGGCAAGTGTGGGAGCCACTAGGAGTGAGGAGACTTGCATGCAGTAAACGTGGGCAAGACTGGGTGTAAATGGAGTTTGGGTGACAATCCCGGGATCATAGCCGCAGCTGGTTGGAGACCATCCAGCCACTGATCCTCAGCCTTGGTGAACAATTTAAAAAACAAAAACAAAGTTAGTGGAGGCCTGAGCCCCACCCTCTTGGCTTTATTTGTTTCAGTCCTGGGTAGTGAGGATGAGCCCAGGGTCTCACCCACGTGGGGCAAGTGCTCTACCACCGAGCTACATTCCCGGCTCCTTGCTTTTTATTTAATTGGCAGGGCTAGAGCCCGGGCTTCACAGTTTTCTGCCAAAACAATCGCTGGAGATTCTAACACGTTGAGGAAGTTCCAGAGTCCCTGCTGATTTGTTTTATAGGTGAAGAAACTAGCCCTAGAGGGCACAGTTGTGCTGGGAAAACAAAGCTTTCTCCTGAGAGGCACTGCGGTTTGACTGGGCAGAGTAGATTTGTCCCCTAGATGGCGCTCCAGGCTCTCTCTGGGTCTTCAGTTCACTAACCCTAGAACTAGTCCAGAACAGTGATGCCAAAATTTAGACACCAAATACCCAAATTGCAACCCAAAATCCACTCATTTATTACAAAGTGAAAACACTGCAATTAAACATGAATACTGAGGTTTAGTTTAGAAAGATAACTGTTACCCAATGCTCAGCTGCTGGGCAACTTGGCTTGCGTGCCGACCGAGAGGGCTGTGTGCCTGCTGCAGCACGTGTGCCATACGCTCCCCACCACTGGTCTAGGCCTTTGGTGTCGAAACCCACAAGGCTATATTCCAGCTTTGTTTTAGGCAAGCATAAAAACGTGTTTCTGTGGGACAGCAGGATCCCGTGTTGGGATTTACCTCGCCATGTTGGGGGAGTCAGATTATAATGTGAGGCAACACCAGGCTGCTGGAGGTGAGTGACTAGAGTCACAGGTGGCCACCAACCTCTCCTCCACGGCCCACAGGTATTTGTCAGCAAAGACTTGGCCAGGCACTTGGGCTTCCAGTCAGCGGCGGAAGCCCTGCGGGGCTTGTATGGTCGTGTGAGGAAGGGGTGAGTGGGGAAGCCAGGGAGAGACCCTAGGGAGGTGAGGCGGGTGGGTGCCCTCATGGGTCTAGGGGATGAGGTGGGCTGACACCCAGCTGAGTGGAGGTCTTGCAGGGCTACGCTCATCTGTGCCTGGGCTGAGGAGGGTGCCGACGCGCTGGGCCCTGATGGCCACCTGCTGCACTCAGATGCCTTCTCACCGCCCCGGGTGGTAGACACTCTGGGCGCTGGAGACACCTTCAATGCCTCTGTCATCTTCAGCCTCTCCCGGGGTGAGTGCCCCAGCAGGAGGGGGCAGGGCTGGGCACTGCCCCAGTGCAGAACCCCAAGCTGATCCAGCCACGTGACGCTCCTCTAGGGAACAGCATGCAGGAGGCACTGAGGTTTGGCTGCCAGGTGGCTGGCAAGAAGTGTGGCTTGCAGGGGTTTGATGGCATCGTGTGAGAGCCGTTTGACGGGAGGCATCACGCTCACCATTCCTGCTGGAGGCTGGCATCACAGGCCGCTGCTGCTGTACCCTTCCATCCAGGCTGGCATCCAGGCTGCCCTGCTCCCTGGGCAGATGCGGGCTACAGGAAGGCCTTGCAAGTGTCCTGTGTCCTTTATCTGTACCCTCACTGCCATGTCTGCAGAGCCTCAGCAAATAAATCTCCTTCCCCTGAACCAGCGTCCTCTGGCCATCTCTTGGTACTGCTCGACAGCTGAACTGCTCTGAGTGGAGATTCCTGAGGCTTTGACACTACAGCCTCTGTCTTGTTCTCCATTCCCCAAATTAATCTCCCCACCCAGGCCCAGAGGTGGTATTACCTCTGCCTGGCCACAGCAGCCTTGCCACTGGCTGTCCCAGATGCAGGAGGCTCAGCCATCCCTGGACAAGAGTAGCTGCTGAGGTAGGGAGAGGTGGAGACTGTGGGCCTCCTGGCTGGGAGGACAGTTAGCTCCCCACAGCCCACCAGCCAAATAACCAAAAGCTGTAAGAGAAGCTCCTGTGCTGTGAACATTCCACTTAGCGGCCCCAGAAGCTGGGGTCCACATGGCTGAGCTAATGTCAGGCCTGTGGGCAGGGAGCCTACTGTGTGCTTCCGCGGGGCAGTCCCAAAATCCCTTCTCCCATCTTGCAGTTAAGGCAATGCCTCAGCCACAAATGGGACCCAGCCACAGAACACCGCTGTCCTTTGGGGAGGTCATATCCCAAAGGACTATTGGAATTGGGAGCTGATTCCAGTATGCAAGTTGGGGCAGGAAGAGTGCCTGGTGTGTTCTGAGCTTTCCAAAAAAAAAAAAAAAAAAAGGTTCCTATTATTACTGGAGCTGGGCATGGTGGTACATGCCTGCAATCCCAACACTCTGGGAAGCTGAAGCAAGAGGATATCAAGTTCTAGCCCAGCTAGGGCAACTTAGCAACTCAGTGAGATCTTGTCTCAAAATAAAAGGTGGGGGGCGGTTCTTGCAAATGTAACTCATTATGAAGACCCTAGGTTCAATTCCCAATACCTCCAAAAGCTTACCTAGCACAGGAGACAGATACTAAGTGATTGGAACCATCTGTCCTGAGCTGCAGGAGGGCATAAGGTGTCTGAATACCAGATGTAGGGAGAACAGGAGGGTATCTGGGCCCCAAGAATAACTTGCTTCATCGGGCGTCTGTAGCTGGCTGCACCTAGTGCGGTAGGCTCTGCTGTCCAGCACCCTTAGGCCCAGGAACACTGGGAAAGTCTCTATAAGAGGCATGTCCAGTCCCTAACCCCCTGTGCCCCTGAGGGCTTCTGGACAAGCTGGACAGTAGACAGATGGCCCAGCAGATGAATTCATTTTGTCCTTTATTGGTTGTTTGGGCCCCAAAGCTGCCCTTCAGTTTATTTTTAACATTTTTTTTTGTTTTGTTTTTTTGGTTTTTCTCCGGTACCGAGAACGGAACTCACGACCTTGCGCTTGCCAGGCAGGCGCTTTGCCGCTGAGCTAAATCCCCAGCCCCTGCCCTTCAGTTTAGCATCTCCCTGAGCTGCACAGACCTGGCACCTACTGGGGTCAGAAGGGGGACACAGAGGTGGTCCTCGTCCCAGCATGCACATCCCACCCTTCAGGCTTACTCCAGCACTGAGACTTTGAAGGGTGCAAACCTGTATCTCAAGGTTCATATCTCATCATTCTCCAGTTGAATACTATGAGGCTCAAGCTCATGTGGGGTATTCCTGGACTCCAGTGTTTCCTTTAGAATCTCTTTGGCTTCTGCCTCATTATCACTGGCCTCTACCTGCCCCTCAACGTCACTTCTGGGACCTGGGGCTTCTCCTTCGGCCTCTACCTGTCCCCTATTCCCCACTTCGGGGCCTGGGGTGTCTCCTTCAGCCCCTGCTTGACCCCAAGCCTCCTGAACAGGCTCCAGGGACTCCCTTCTGGCCTCTTCTTGGAGCCCAGCTTCTCTGGGCCCCAGAGCCTGCTGAGTTTCTTGTCTCAAGGGGTTCTCTGCTAACAGGGACTGCCCCTCCACAGTCTGTGTCTCGTGGGGAGCTGGAGCCAAGAACTCCCTGGGCTCTGTGTCCCTGGGGGCCTCTGCCGGGAAGTTGATGAGTTCTGCAGGGGAGATGAGCCCATCCCCATCCAGGTCCTGGGTCTCCAGCACCTTGTCCACGACCAGGATCACCTGCGGAGGCACAGAATCACCATGGGGTCTCCAGGGACCGGAAATGTTCTCCGAAGCACCCCTGCTTAATGCCCCGCTCCTCCGTCACGCAGGCTCCCAGCCGCCCTTTTACAGGAGATCCATCCAAAGTCATGACGAGAAAGACCAGAGCACCAAGGAGCTGGATCCCCTGTAGCGTCTCCTGCAGAGCTTACCGGGTTGGCAGGAAAGTTGGCAGCTCCAGGGGCCAGAGCCGCTGTCAACATGGACAACAGCTCCAGCCCATCCAGCTGTCCACTTTGGTCATAGTCATGGAGAGCAAAGAGGTAGAGGAGCACTAGGGAGAGAAGCTGGGTTAGAAGAGGCGTCAAGAGCAGACAGAGAAAGCAGGAGTCAGTGGGGCAGCCAGCTCTCAGGCCCAGCTCTGGCTGCCCCGAGTGTCCTAGGCCCTGGTCCACCAGCCCCGCGCCTCACCCTGCTCCCGGTTCATGTGCTCCGGGTCCTCGTCCATCCTCTCTAGTCCCTTTAGATGGTGCTGCAGCACTCTGTTGGAGAAAGGGCAAATCAGCCTGGGAGGGGCCAGTCCGAGGCCCCACGCCCCTCGTGCACACCCAAGGCCCCAGCTCAGCTACTCACCGGAGCTGCTCTGGCCCTGGCTGGAAGGGGTTGGACAGGGGCTGAGGTTGCATGTCAATGTCCTGCCTGGAGAAGGAGGAAAGGACCAGCCTTGCAGAGTCTGCCTGAGGCCCAGCCTATGGGCCCTCCAACCTGCTTCCTGGCCCAGTTCCCTTTCTGGGGCCAAAGGAGGTACTCCCTCAAATTCCCAGAAATTTGGAAGGAAGAGGCCCTTCTGGTCTTCTTACTTCCTCGGACTCTTCCTGAAATGCCTTATCTAAACTTTACGTGAAACTCAAAGAAAACACCTGGTGAGGTTGAGGCCAAATGAAGCCACACCTGCTATGCATGAGTTGGAGCCCTGAGAAGAAGCCCAGTGAGTGGCAGGAGAATGTGGACCGTGCCCACAGAGAGACCAGGGGTGGGGCTCTGGTGGAGCCTGGTAGCACTGCCAGGTTTGCACTGACCCAGTTCGCTCCATGACATAGATGCCTCTTTCTTTTTCAAGCAGAGGGCACACGTGTCAGTTTGGGGTTCCAGTCTTCTTGGGATCTCTTGACCAGTCTCTAAAGCTCAAAATGTGCTTCTACTTCTAGATGGGGCCACACATCAGACCAGGTCTGGTGCAGCCACTTTGGTCACTGTTGCCAGCCCTGGTAGCTCTTCCTGTCTCCTCTCCTACCCAGCACATCCTCTGGACAACACAAATGAATGAGACCTCCCAAAGGCAATTCCAATAAACTAGAAATGGTGTACTAATGACCTTCATTCCCACTATTGATACTTGATTACAGGACTGCTACCCCTTCCCTGGCTCTAGCTTCTTCCTGGCACTTCACACCACACTGAGTGCCCAATTTGTGACATCCTAATGGACACAAAGCAGAAGGTTAGGGTGGGGACATACAGAGATCACCCAAGTCTCCTGGCCCCAAGGGGTCTACCATTCCCTTGGGTTCTCCAGAGACTCACCCTGCCCCAGCCCATGGTCCTGTCCTCCCAGTCTCCTTACCTTGTGGCTCCATCCTTGGGAGCAGCGTGGGCCAGGGTGGGCAGCAGTATCAGCAGCATTAACACTCTCATCATCTGAGCTAACATCCTCCCTGGGGCAGGAGCAAGGAGAATTAGGAGGTTGGGGAAAGAGTGTCTGCCATAGTGCAGGGATCAGTTGGGTCAGAAATAAATGCCTTCTCTTCTTATCTTTATCTGCAACCCAGGGGACAGGACCTTTGCTCAGGGAGGACTCCTGCATGGCAATCAGTGATCTATGGCACTGTTATAGCTTATGTCTAGATGTCACCCCAAAGCCTCATGTGCTTATAGATGGGGCTTTTCGGAGATGGCTGAATCCAGTGTGTGTATATATGGATTAAGGGGTGATAACTAAATTGGTTTAGTGTAGTTCTGGGTGTGAATAATGGGAAGCCACACACTGGGTATGGGTGGCACCAACCAATAGGCTTGTAGCCTGGAGGGCATATAAAGAGACAGATGGAAGGCAGGCTGCTGCTGCTGCTTGCTGCTTCCTGCCATGGACTATTTCTCCTCTGCTACTGTTTCACCTGTGCTGTGCCACGTTGCCTTGGAACCAAGTAACTGTGGACCTGAACCTCTACAAACTGTGAGCTATAATAAACCTTTCCTCCTTTAACTTGTGATTGTCAGTGGCACAAGTGCCTGCCTCGCAAGTACAAGGTCCTGAGTTTGATTCCCAGTATCAAGATAAAATAAAATAAAATAATAAAATAAAATAAAATAAAGTGCTTAAAAACTGAGCTGCCCTGATGGAAGCAACACTGCGGACAGGGTTCCCTCCCCGCAGCACATGCCTCTTATCCCTGCCAACCCCTAGGATGCAGAAAAAAGCTCAGTGAACCTAGGGAAAAGGCAAGATTAGAAATATAGGGAGTAAAAAAAAAAAAAAAAAAAGAAATATAGGGAGTGATACAAAGACCAAGACTTAAACAGACAGGCAAAAAGGGTGACAGATTGTTAGCTTGCACTTACTAAAATTCCATGGGAGAGCAAATCCAAGGAGGCTCAAACTCCTGGAAAAGTCCATACTCAGGTAAATACTCTGAGTCCATACTCAGACTGAAAACAGCACATCAGGGTCAAACAACAGTGGCTCTAGGAATTGCTGTTTACTTAGTGCAGTTAGGAAAACAAGATCTCAATATAAAGTGAAAAAAAAAATCAAAAACAAGAACTTCCCCTTAGATCTATATTGGGTAGGACCATAGGCAAAAACTATAACCATAACTGAGTATATGAAATCAAATATAAAATGGATCTATTGAAAACACAGAGAACAAAGCTTTCTGATTGGTCCCAGATGTATGGACAAATAGTGAGCTTCCAAGGGAGCAAAAGTTTACCAAAGCTGAGGCCTCAGACCCCAAGCCCATCTCTAGGAATAAAAATCATCAGATGTCTAATAGTCTAAGCGGAGGATAAGGAACTCTGACATGGTGCCCTCTATGCTGTCTGAAGTGGACTTTATTAGAGGAAGGTTTATAGCTTTCAGCAACTACTGCAAGAAGTCCATGGCCCAAGAGGCCCAGAACCACTGCCGGGGGGTCAGTGGGAGGGATATCAATCTCCTAAGAGATGACAGTTGGTGCAGGTAAACATCTGGATCTGGAGAGACAAACAAAAGTTCTGCCATCTTGAGCTGCCTTGAGCAAAACATAGCAAAACAAAAAGGTGAGCTCACAGAACCTGTCTTCATCCCTCTATGCATATGACTTGCCCCAAGAGCTAGAGTGAGTACACATAGCTTTTCGGTGTCTGTGAGCCCCAGTGGCCAAAAGGCTGTTAAACCTCAGCTGCTCCAAGTGTGGCAAACAGCAGCAGCTGGCACAGGAGGCCCTTGGGCTTGAGTTATTGTGCCCAGGAAAGAGGACAAGATCTTGGGATCCTGCAAGGTGGGCAGCAGGCAGTGAGCTCTCCACATCAACATGGAACCCTCAAAGGGATGGGCAAGCAAAACATCCAGACACCCGTGTCTCAGAGTATAATAATAAATGTCCCAAAGAAAGTAACTACGAGGCTGGATAAAAATAGAAAGTACCCGTTTGAGTGCACGGAGTTGGCAAGAAATTCACAGTGTTCAAAAAAGCACAGTGGAAACTGTAATCCGGGTGAAAGGTGAGCTTGACATCAGCCTCACGTGTGTCCGCCAAACGCAGGCACGTGCACTTGAGCTGCCTGAATGGGTGCAGTGTGCAGCAGAGACTGGCAGATAAACCTGGGCCTGCCCACTAGGGAAAGAGTCAAGAGATTCCTTGTAGAAAGCTGGGATTCCAAGTAGCTATACACGTCTTACAAGGGTGAGTCAAAGACAGCCAGGGCAAAGGGCAGCAGGGACTCTTCTCTCTCTTCACTTTGGTGCTAAGTGAAAGTGAGAAAACTAAATCTTCCCTGAGAATGTGTACTCAGGCTGCTGTAATGTGGTGTGATGCCTGGAATAAGGCTACCTGTGGTCTGGAAAACCTACGGCAGGTAATTTATTTTGAAGTGTAACCAGTTGATAGTGGCCACAGAAGAAAACATATATTTTCTCTGGAGGAGTTCAACTCCGATCGAGGCCTCAAGGTATTGCCATTGGTAGAGTTCCACGAAATGTGAGCTTGCAGTCGAAAAGTCCTAAATATATAAGGAAATACGACATTGACTAAGAGCCAATGAAACAACAATTGTGCAGGCAAAGCTAGGCCTGCTCAGGGTAAGTGTTATATCAGGATTATCACGCACAGAATATAAAGTAAGTATACTTAATGTTGTAAGGACTTAAAAGGGTGTTTGAAACTATGAGAAAGAAATGAAAGCATAAAAATGACCAAGTAAAGTTGAACAAAATATAATCTTTAGAGATAAAAATTTTCCTAGACTGAAGTCTAAATTTGCTCTAGTTTAGTTACAGAAAAAAAGACGTTTTGCCACTGAAGCTTGAGCCATCTGTGCCTCTTACAGGCTGAGAATAGAAGAATTTCAGATAATAAAGAGTGAAGTATAGCTGGGCACGGTTGTGCACACCTGTAATCCCAGCAATGGGGAGGCTGAGGCAGGAGAATCTTTGCAAGTTCAAGACCAGCCTGGGCTACAAAGTGAGCTCAAGGCCAGCCTGAACTACATAGCAAGACCCTGTCTCAAAAAGACCAAAAAAAAAAAAAAAAAAAAAAAAAAAGAGAGTGAAGTTTGCCTGCAAGAAAAAAAGAAAAAAGAAATAAAAGTTTATCTTAAAAAAATGCAACAGGTAAATGAAACAGGTTAGACACAGGTGATATGAGAATGAATGAGCTGGAATATAGATCCAAATAAATTATCCAGAATGTGGCTGACTGAGTTAAAGGAAATATAAATTAAGGTTAAGTGGCTTGGAGGAGATAACAGATAAAACTGGACAGAAGCAGTATTTGAAGAAATAATAGCAGAGTTTTTTCCAGTAGTTGAAAATCACTACTATGTCAATCAGGAAGTTCAACAATCCCACACAGACTAAACAAACCGAAAAACACACCCAGGTCTGCTGTTCTGAATTACAAACCAGGGAGGAGAAGAACACTGTAAAAGCAATCAGATAGAAAAGACAAATCACCTTGAGGAAAGGTAATTAAAGTGACAGCTGATTTCTCCACAGCAAATAGTTACCCAGTGCAGTGATACAGGATGTGCATGTGTACAGAGGTGGAGGAAACTGCTAGTCTAGAACTCTACTCTCCGCAAAATTCTCTTTCAAGGCTGGGATGGAGCTGAGTGGTAGAGAGAGTGCTTGGCACACCTGAGGCCCTGAGTTCCATCCCCAGTGCTGAGCAAAGGAAAACATAACTCAGGGTCCCATTATATAGTTTAGACGGGCCTTGAACTCATTGTGTAGCCCAGGCTGGCCTTGGACTCACTATGTCACCCAAACTGGCCTTCAGCTTGCAGTGATCCTCCTGCCTCAGCCTCCTGAGTACTAGGATTACAGGCGTACACCACTAACCTGACTAACAATCCTTCACTAAAGGAAGTTCCAAGGTATGCGTTTCAAGAAAAGTATCCTAGAAAGAAGGTTTGAAACACAAGGGAAAGTGTTGAGCAAAGAAATCAGAAACTATGTGAGCAACTCTAAACAAACACACTGTTAATGATAATTATAGTAATATATGGGGCAAAAAGGTGCAGTAGTCTGAACTACAATACTGGAGAGCATGTGAGGTGAAATGGTTGTCTGAGAAGAGAGTAGACATATTGATTAACTTTGCTAAATATATACTTAAAATTTAACCACCAAAAAGAAATGGAAATGAAATATGAAAACTCAAGCCACTAGAAAAATAAATGAATGGAATATTTCAAGAAATTGATTCAAAACAAAGGCAAGAAATGAGACAAAAACTTAAAGAAAGCTGGGCATTGTGATGCACATCTGTAATCCCAGCTAGTTAGGAGACTGAGGCAGGAAGATCACATAGTCAAGCCCAGCGTAGGCAACTTAGAGAGAACCTGGTTCAAAATTAAAAATGAGGCAGGAGAATCGCTGTGAATTCAAGGCCAGCCGGGGCTATCTAGCAAGTTTAAGGCCAGCCTCAACTACATAGGGAGACCTTGTTTCAAAAATAAATAAATAAATAAATAAGATGAAAAATGATATTTTGTGTGGAACTACAAACTGAACTGTTTTTAAGGATATAGTTAATGTGAAGGCCCAGTACCACGCACACACACACACACACACACACACACAGACACAGAAAAAAGAAAAACCAAAAAGAATTTTAAAAAACTAAAAAAAGACAAATAGAAAGCATAAAATAAGATTTTGGCAATAAATTCAAATATCTTATTTGTCTTTTTTTTTTTTTTATCTTTTTGAGACAAGGTCTCGCTATGCAGTGCACACTGGCCTTGAGCTCACTTTGTAGCCCAGGCTGGTCTCGAACTCTCAACGATCCTCCTGCCTCAGCCCCCTGAGTGTGCCACCATGCCCAGCTTCAGTAATCATAATAAGTATAAATTATACAAACTCATTAGCTAAGAAATAAAGGTTAGAAGAGGGCCATTACAAAATGACAAAAAGTTTAATTCTTGATAGGAAAACATAATACCTATAAATTTGTGTGCACTTAATAATATATCCTCAAAATAGATGAAACAAAGGGTGGTATAACTATAAGGAGAAAAGTCAAATCTGCCATTATAGTGGGAAAATTTAACTTTTCTCATTCAGTATTAGGTAGACTAAAAATTAGTAAGACTATAGGAAATTTGAATAAAGCTTAGTAAGCTTGAACTAATGGACATACATGGAACCCCACTTCAATCACTTAACAAATACATGTTCTTCTCAAGCACACATGGGATTTTTTTTTTTTTTTTTTTTTTTGAGACAGGGTCTTGCTATATAGTCCAGGCTGGCCTTCAACTTACTATGTAATCCAGGTTGGCCTCAAGCTTGTGAGGATCCTCTAGTCTTAGCTCCCGATTGCTGAGATTACAGGCATGCACCACCATGCTTGGTTTAAACATAGGATATTTATAAAAACTGAGAAGTACTAGGCCAGAGAATGTAGCTCAAGTGACATCAAAGAATCAGTCTCAGGTTATATAATCAAAATGCAATTACAGGCCAGGGATACAGCTCAGCAGCACAAGCACCTGCCTGGCAACCAGGTCCTGAGTTCAATTCCTGGTACCCCCCCCAAAAAAAGGAAAAAAGTGCAATTACATGAGATATCAATGCAAAAGTATTTTAAAAATCTCATGCGTTTGTAAATTTATAAAGTATACTTTTGTATGCTTACAGAGAAGACAATCATAATGAAAATTGTTAAATACTTAGAATTGGAAAATATTGAAGCAGCAGGGAAAGTGTACAAATTTAAAAGCTTTTATTAGAAGAAAAGCTAAAAATTAATGGGCTATAGTTCCAACTCAAGAAGCTAACAAGAGTACATTCAAATAAATAAAAATAACAAATTTAAACTACAGTAGAGAGAAGAAACAGAGGCAAACACGAATTGTTTCTTTAGAAAGATCTAATAAAGTTTAGCATGGTGGCTCATGACTATAATCCCAGCTACTCAGGAGGCTGAGGCAGGAGGACTGCAAGTTTCAGGCTGGCACTGAGAAATTTAGGAGGACCCTGTTTCAAAACAAAAAATTAAAAAGGCTTGGAATGTGGCTCAGTGTGGGGAGGGCACCCAGACTTGATCCTCAGTATTGGGAAAAAAACTAATAAGATAGATAAACTTTGACAATTTTTAAGAAAAAAGAGAAAAAACATAAACAATATTAGGAATGAGAACTATTAGGAAGATCAGGGAACAAAACTACAGAAATAATAGTGATTTGAAAACAGCAGATTTAATCAATTTCCTAGAAAAACCTACTAGCAAAACTGATGCAAAAAGAAATAGAAAACTTTAATAGTCCTGTAACCATTTAAGATACTGAACCAGTGAGTATGAACCCTATATTTTGTGTGGAACTATAAACTGAACTGTTTTTAGGGAGAAATCTGCAACAGTGTAAATTGCCAGAAAACTCTGACCCAGCAATATCACTTTGGGGACTGCCTAAAGAAGAACGCAACTGGAAAAGAAACTGTGGCAATATATACAGCTGTGCTATTAATATAAAAATATGTAAACAACGTGAATGTCTAACATTTAGGTAATAGCTAAGCAAATCATATTATGCAGCAGAGCCATTGAGATGATAAATATTTTAAAACTCATAAATTTTAAAGGAAAACCCTGGGTGATTTATGTGTCAAAAATCCAAACTTGTGTATCGTGAAAGACACCCTTAGGCAAGTTCAAGGCGATGAGTGATCACAGAGAGGGTTTGCAGGCTCCTGGGTGACCTCCAGCCTCAGCAGGTGAGGGTTGAGGATGGCAGTCTCACCAGAAACCCCACGTGTGCCAATGGGGTCTGAGCACTCCAGAGACTCAGGTGTCATATTCAGGAAGGTTCGCGATGAGGACCTGTGCCCAGAGGCCTGAGTGGCCAGGTAGGGATGACCAGAAGAGATCCACTACTCTGTATCCAGAGTCTGTTGCTGTGAAGATGGCTCTGCGGAATTTCAGTCATAGTGGCCAAGAAGGCTGGGTGGCCCGCAGAGGCCAGAGGAGAAAGCCAGGAGCTGTGGATCCTGGCTGGGATACCACAGAGGATTCTGTGCAGCTGCAGTTTGGAACTGGAGTGTCCCCCAAAAGCCCGAGTGTTTGAGGGTTGGTCTCCAGCATGGCATCACTGGCAGATGGTGGGACTCCTAAGAGATGGGCCCTAGGGGAGGTGTGGGGGTCCCTGAGGATGCCCTGAAGGGCACCATAGGGCCTTGGTCTCTTCCTCTTTCCTTGCCAGCCACAAGCAAGCAGCTCTGCTCTGCCGTATGCTTCCTGCAACAGTATGCTGCTTGGCCATAGGCCCAAAAGCAAGAGAACCAAAGACCATGAACTGGAGGCTCCAAACCCTAAGCCCAAACACCCCTTTGCTCGTCACCACTGGTTACCGCAGGCATTTGTCCAGTAGTGGGAAGCTGACTGACTGACCCGGGAAGGATCAGTGTCAGGAGGGCAAGCATCCCCCAGGAAGGTGAGTGTCAATGTTTGTACAATAAAGATAAACATTATTCATTTCTTTTAAAAAAAAAAACTTTTTGTGGGGCTGGGGCTTGAACCCCAGGCCTCCCACATGCTAGGCAAGTACACTAGCACTGAGCTACATCTTTAACCCATTTCTGTGTTGTTTCATAAACACCTACTGTAACTAAGGCACTATCTTATCAATAGCCTCATAGTTTGAGGTAGAAGTACTTATTCTTTTTTCCCCTTAAGGCAAATATATAAGGAAATATTAAAACAATTAAGAGAACCCAGGTGTGGTGGTATACCCCTGTAATCCCAACACCCTGGGAAGCTGAGGCCAGAGGATCAAAATTTCAAGCCCAAGCCCAGCATGGCAGTACATGCCTATAATCCTAGCACTCGGGAGGCTGAGGCAGGAGGATCATTGCAAGTTTGAGATTAGTTGGGCTACAAAGTGAGTTCAAGGCCCACCTGAACTGCATAGCGAGACCCTGTCTCAAAAAGACAAAAATAAAAATAAAAAACAAAATTTCAAGTTCAACTTGGGCAATTTAGCAACTTAGTGAGGTCCTGTCTCAAAATAAAAAATAAAAAAAAAAATTGGTGATGTAGCTCAGTGCAAAGGTTCTGGCTTTAATCCTTAGTACTAAAACAAAACAAAATAAAACAAAGTGAAAATATTAAGAGAAAAATAGTGAAGTGGGTCACAGTAGCATGCACTTGTAATCTCAGCTACTGGAGAGGTTGAGGCAGAAGGATCACAAGTCTCAGGCCCAGTCTGACAACTCACCAAGACCCTGAATCAAAATAAAAAATAAAGGGCTGTGGGTGTAACTCCGCAGTAGGGTGCCCCTGTATGCAATCTCCAGTATTGGGGTGGGGTGGGGCAGAGGCAGACACAGAGACAGAGAAAACTGCTAGGAAAGTGGTTAAGGCCAAAGCTCAGGGGCCTGAGATCTATCTAACCCGAGGCTGCCTCAGTTCAAACGCCTTCTCTGTCCCAGATTCCCATCTGTAGCTCAGGGCAGCCCAGCGCCCTGCCCAGGTGCAGCCTACGTGAGCCCTGGTCTGTCGAGCGAGCGCAGTGCCTGTTACACAATGTAGCCTTTTCCTTCCATAAGCTTTCCTGCATGGCTCTGCAGGGGCTTCACACACACCCTCCTCCCGGCCTTCCCACTTGGGTCCCTTCAAATTATTCTCTCCTCCCCATCTGCTCAGCCCCAGGAGACATGGAGTAATTTAAAGCCCTCAGAGCTGTCAAAACTTATTACCTGGGCTTTATGTGTCATCCACCAGCAGTTGCCTCTTAGGAGAGGACATCTGTGACTCACAGACTGAATCTCGGGTATAAAGGGGGAGCGCCTGCCGGCCCCACTGACCTGCTCACTCATTAGGCCAGCATGGTGCTTCCAAAAACATATCTGCAAATTCCCATGTCTAGTTCTTCCTCTTATTTGTGACTTGCCCCTTAAACGAATTGCTGAAATGATGCTACAGACTGCCAGGCCTAGTTCTCTCTCTCTACCTTCCTCCTTCTTTCTTCCTCCCTCGCTCAACCATGTGGAGAAACTACTTAGGGACAGCAATGCCCGGGGAGCCCCCAGACCCTCACGAGACAGACAAGGTGGGGGAACCTTCGCCGCCTCGGGGCTGCCCCACCCAACACAGAGTGGAAATGTGCCCTCTCCGCTGCCCTGCCCAGAGAGTGCTCATGAGCAAAGAAAGTCAAGCTTATCAGGGGTTTGGTTTTCTTGTTTTGCAGTACTGAGGACTGAACCTAAGCATGCTACTATGGAGCCACATCCCTAGAACTTTTTATTTTTGATTTTGAGATAGGGTCTCACTATGTAGCCCAGGCTGACCTCGAACTTGTGATCTTTCAGCTTCAGCCTCCCAAGCTGCTGGGATTACAAGTGTGCACCACTGCACCCTCCTAAGCCTCAGGCTGGCCTTGTGTGTGTGGCCCGTGCAGTTGCATGGACCTTGCTCTCAGGCAAACCCTCCCTATGCTTAGTCTAATGCTTGAGTCTTGAAACTCAGCCCCTTTTGAAGCAGGCCCTGCAAGTTACATACCTGGTCTGAGCCCTACCCAGATGAGTTCCTATCGCTCCGTCACTTGGTCCTGTGTGTCCCTCACACACGTAGCTATCCAGTCTGTGGAGTGGTCAGAGAGCAGAGATTTAGAACCACCTTCAACTGCCACCTCCACTCCTGACTGTCCCTGTGTCCTTGGGTCAGTTAATTATGCTCACTAACTCAGTTATCTTGCTTGCTTGGTGGAATGGTGGGGATAGTAATGTTTACCTCACATAGTTAAAGTGAGTATTAAATGGGTAGTAAATTAATTCTTACAGACATCAAATATAACTTCTTGTCCCTGGTATCTTCCTTATACCCACATCGGATAAACATTCCTTTGCTAGAATTCCACTGCTCCAGAACCTTCAGTGGCTCCCTATTTCTGTTACACTCCAGAGTCCTTACCTGAGCATTCAAGGTCTTCTACAATCAGCCACTAAGTTATTTTGACTCATCTTTTGGGGCTCTAATACCCTAAGGCTCAGCTTCACACCGAGGGCTACCAGAATCTCCTTAAATACTCCTCACTTTTACTTTTCAGTGTTTTTGCCCAACCTGTTCCACCCTCAGTGGGGAATATCCTGGACCCGCCTGGTCACTCTTACATTCACCTGTAGTCCATTTTAAAACTTTTTCTTTTTCTTTTTGTCTTTTTGAGACAGGGTCTCACTATGCAGTTCAGGCTTGCCTTGAGCTCACTTTGTAGCCCAGGCTGGTCTCGAACTTGCAGCGATCCTCTTGCCTCAGCCTCTTGAGTGCTGGGATTACAGGTGTGCGCCACCATGCCCGGTGACCTTAAAACTTTAAATAGCTGCATATGGATTTAGAGTGTAATATTCTCTTAACTATGGAGTCCAGCTGTGACATTTTTAGAGCCAGTAACCTACCTCCACTATTTAAAGACAGGCAGGCCAGTACCTCATGCAGTGTGTAAGGAGGTTGATGTAACGTGATTGGCTCATACTTGCATATTTCCAAGCATTTACAAAAGCTTTTGTAAGCAACAGAAACAAAGCAATCATTGAACCACTGCTTGTCAAATAAAAATGTCTCTAAGCATTTCCTGTCCTTACAATGTACATGAACATCTGCTACCCTAAGAGACACATGAAAGCCACCATAACTGTTAGCAATTGTGATTTAATCCCATAAAGTTATTCAGTCACACACACACACTACACACTCACATTTATATACTCACACAATGACTGGACTTTAGATTTCTTCCAGCCTTTGCACCAGCACATGAAAGCAGAGCTCCGGCTGGGGGTTAGACTTTTGATCAAATCCCGCTGTGTGATCTAAGGAGATGTCTTACCCCTGGGACCCCTGGGATCCTCATTTTAAAAAGGAGAACAGCAGTACCTGCTTCACAGAGACCCGGGCAGGGCGGAATGAGTTAAGGCAGGTTACATGGCTGACAGCAAGCAGATGCTCCTCCAGCATTTCAGAGGTTGTGGTGGGCCTTTACCTGTGTAACCTCCCTCCCAGGGCAAGCAGTCCTCACGCAGCCTCCCTGTCATTCCGCTCCTGCCTCAGTCTCTCCCGGCCATCGCACCTACAGGGCATCCATTTCTTTTTAGACTGAGTCGTGATAAGTTGTCTGGACTGAAACCTCTGCCTTGATTTATCTCTCTGGTGCACCGATGCCCCCCAGGAAAGCAGGAGGCGGCAGCCAAGGGGCTCACACCTGAGCGGGTCTCCGCCCAGCCCCTTGCCGCCTCAGGAAGACAACCTCGGGCCGTCCCCGCCCTCCGTTCCTCGGTCCCCAGACGAGGCTCAAGTCCTGCTGCTCCCACCCCCACCGCGCGGCTGCTGGAGCACCACCCCCCATGCCGAGGCCGAGGCCGGAGGGCTGGCGCCGGGCACCGCGGAGGACCCGCATCTCTCCAGCTTCCTCCTCGCTTCCTCCTCTCCCTGCGGCCCGGGATGACCTCCTCCCCGCGGGGCCACCCACCTGCTGCGGGGCTGCGGCTCCGGCTTCGTGCGCGCTGGGGCTGCCGCGCCGCCCGCGCCTGCTGCCCTCTCCCCGGCCGCTCCACGTGGCCTCCACGTCGCCCTCCCGGCTGCTGCCACCGCCCAAGCCGGGCAGAGTCCTGAGCCAGCGCCGGCCACGCCCGCCGCCCTGCGCACCGCTGCCTGCCCCAGCGGGCTCTCTGCGGTCCCCAAGGGCGGGTCACTGCGTTGGAGACCCAAAGGAGACAGCCTGTGCGTGTGTGTGTGTGTGTGTGTGTGTGTGTGTGTGTGTGTGAGAGAGAGAGAGAGAGACAGAGACAGAGACAGAGAGACAGAGAGACAGAGAGACAGAGAAAACTAAAGGGGTTTTTGTTTTTGCACTAGGGAGTGAACCCAATCCACTGGAATGAGCTATAGTCCCATCCCCATGTATGTACTTATTTTATTATTTTACAACTGTATCTCCCTAAATCCCTAAATTGCCCGGGCTGAGTTTGAGCTTGTGATCCTCCTGCCTCAGCCCCCTGAGTGCTGGGATTACAGCGGTGCACCACAGGTGCCAGGCTACAACTAGAGAGACAAAGAGACAGTGAGGCTGGTGTGCATGGGAAGAATGTTTAACTGTGGTCATTCTGTGGGTGTCACTGTCTCTGCCTGAGGGACCTGGATGTATGTGACAAATAATGTAACTTACTGTCAGCACTTGTGATTGTGACTGGTGTGTGAGGTCTTGGGTATGAGGAACTTGTGACACTGTAGGGGACATTTTGTGTGACTGTGTGTCCGGACTGACAGTAGGGGCTTGAGAGAGGATGGCCAGTGTGTGGATGTCTAGGTGTGTGGCTGATCAGCTGGGTGCGTGACCATGCGGGGTGTCAGCAATACTGTTCCAGGAGACCGGATGAACTCATCCCAAGTTGTTATGTGACTTTCAAGTGACACTGAGTTTCACATGCTGGTTTCCAGTGGCGGGATCTCTGCGTGACTGGCCCTGTGATGTTACTGAAGAGTGGTTCCACGTGGGGGGAGGGCCGGTGGGAGTATGCCGCCATTGTAACCATCATCTTAAGGGCCACGGTGGCAGTTGTTTTACAGCAGTGTTGCAATTCCATGGCTGTCATTTTTTTTGTCCCAGTGGCTTAGTCCCTCCACCTAGGCTCCAGACTATATCCTCACCTGTGGAGGACACTACATCCTCACCTGTGGAGGACCACCTAGGCAACTGTCTTTGAAAGAGGAGCAATTGCCTCCATTTTGGCTGAGCCTGACTCTATTTCTGTGTATTGATGTGTACAGAACTGGCTAGGACTTTTCCTTATCCCTTCTATTGGCTTTAAGCAATGAGTATCTACCTAGCCCAAGTGCTGATGGTAGTCTTGGGAGATGGCAGGCGTGTTTCCCCACCCCCTGTTGCTCCCTTGAGGGAGCCAGGATGAGGCGGGATGTGTGAGCCAGTGCTCCATGCTGTTGGCTGGGATGGAGCCTTGGGACTAGAAGCTATGACTTCCTGGGGCTTCAAAGATTACACGTCAGAGCTGAAGCACTGACCTCAGTTGTATTATGCAGATTACTCTTTCTGCATATCTTCTCCCTGCATATGGCAGAGGTGATTTCAGGCCTCCTACCTAGCCCAGCTCATGGCACTCTCGTATTTCCTGCCACTCTCACAGTCACTCATCCTTCTCTTCTTCACAAATGAATAAAATCTGGGTTTGGTCCTGGGTAAAGGCCTTTGTTCTGGATACCCATCACTGTGGCGGGACTCAGGACCCCTTTGACTCCCCATCATTTTGGATATATCATTGTGTCTTTATTTTACACTGTGGGTTGCACTGGAGGTGGTAGACTGGAATTAACTCGTTTCGATTCCAATAACCTTTCCATGGGATTACAAAGATAAACTTCCTGGGACACGATGAGTACTGAGAAGGGCTCCCTATACTCACCCACTAGCCCAAGGACTTTGGTCTTCAAATGATCTCCTATGTCTTAGAATCTTCAGTCTCGGCCTCTCTGTCAGAACCTGCCATCAGCATCTGTCCTAGCAACTAGCCACTCATCTGTTCTCCTTCCTGGAGGGAGCGCTGCTGACCACTGCCCCCTTGGGTCACCGCATCCAAGGGTTTCCACATCACTCCTCTCTCTCTGGTCCTGTCTGCTTGGTTTTCTTCATGCACAAGAGTCCTCAGCTCTCTCTCCTCACTCCCTATCTGGGGTCCCAAAATAGCAGGCTCGGCCACCTGTCCCAATAAGCCATCAGCTCACATAGCTTGCACCACTATCTGTTATGGGTTCATCTGTGTTCTCCAAAATCCAATACGCTGACATCCCGATTCAGTGCCTCAGACGTGACTTTATTTGGAAATGTGATCATTGTGGATGTAACGCATTAAGATGAAGCCATACTGGGGTAGGGTGGGCTCTGAATCCAGACTGGTGTCCACATCGAAAGGAGAAATTTGGACACACACTGCTATGGTCTGAATGACCCCAAGATTTGTGTACTGAAACTTCATCCCCATTGTTATGGTATGAAAAGGTGGGACTTTTTCAGAAGTGATTAACTCACAGGGCTTTGCCCTCATGAATAAATTAATTCCCTTATAAAAGAGGCTTCAGAGAGTTTCCCTGTCTTTCTCTCCTGTCTGTCTGTCCTTTCCACCATGTAAAGACAAGTGGCACCATTTATGAAGAACAGGCCATCACCACACACTGAATATGTTAACACCTTGATCTTTGACTTCTCAGCTCTCAGAATCATGAGAAATAAATTTCTGCTGTTTGTAAATTTCCCAGTCTGTGGAATTCCCGGCAGCACAGACTAAGAGAAATGTTGTGTGAAGACAGAGGCAGAGATCAGGGTGAAGCTTCTTGAAGCCAAGGATCACTGAAGATGTCAGAAAACCACCGGAATAAGGAGAAGCATACATCAGCTCCTTACAGCTCTCACAAGGAACCTTGATCTTGACCTCTAGCGTCCATTTCTGTTGTTGATGACATCTAGTTTGTAGCACTGTTACTGCATCCTTGCAAGCTAATACTTCATCTGAACACTGATAACTACGAAGGCTCTAACTCCAATCTGTGAGCCCCAGAGCACTTCATGAATTGAGCATCCTACTGACTTGTGCCTTGGGCTTCATTTATAAACATGGCTGAGTGACAGCGCTGAGAAGGCAGTGCTGTTGAAAGAAAAGCTAAAGGTTATTCGCAGCTACCCTGGAGATCAGAGGCAAGGCAGACCATGATTCTGGGGAAGCACTGCTGTCCATCCAGAGGTGGACAGGAGCCAGAGGAGGGCACAACAGTGCAGGGGAAAGTTTAGAACTAGTTTGAATGGTTCTGGAGGATTTAGGGGACTACCCCCCAATCTTATAGGACCTGGCCCCAGAGTGACAGGGAGCAGGGAAATATTGGTTTGGTTGTGAGAGTTAAATAAATTGGGTGAGAGTAAGGGACTTGGATTGCAGGGGAGACTATCAGGTTAATAACTCTTAGTTATAAAGCTGATCAGGCCTGAAATCTCCCAAATGAGTTGATGGCAAAAGCTTAAATAAATGAGACAATTGAAATGACTTTAGGGCTCTAAGAGGGTTTAACCCCCTCACAGAATTCAAGAATTCTCTGGGTTAAGACTCAGACTTCCTTGGCTGCCTGTATTTATTAGGCTTTCAAATAAAGAAGGGGGATACTGAAGAAAATGCCAGAATCTGGGCAGGACTTGGGAAACCCTTTATAGAATTTTCCAAATAATACTTATGTTAATTTAGGAGAACTAAGTTAACTCCAGAAAGGCCTTCACTGCAGGAGTGAGGTGCCTGCAGCTACAGTCTCCTTTTAGTTAACTGGGGTTGGAGCCAACAGTCCTCAGCTATGGCCTTGTCTTGTCCTTTGAAGCCTCATGGCTTCACCCACTATTACAGGCCTCAGTAGGGACCAGTGACTCACAAGTAAACATGAAAAATCAATTGGTTAATTTAAGTCCTGCTCAGAGCTGCTTCAGAGTGATCTCCATGAGGAGACCTTACCCACCACTTGGCATTGTGATGGATAGATGCCAAACAGATAACTACTGAATCTAGGAAAACACAGAATACCCCCCAGCATACCATACATCTCTGAGCCTGCATGCATCCTCTTCCCCCTCACATGTCTCTCTTTCCTGGTTTCCCACGCCAGAGATGGACATCCCGTATCTGTGCAGTCAGAAACCTGGGGGTCATCCCCTCTGCCCCATCTCCAGCCTACAGCTGCCTCCTATCACTCTGCCTCCTGTCCCAAAGATCTTCACTCCTCTCCCGGGCTGTTCCCCAGTCCAGGCAGCCATCATCTTCGGTACCTGGAGTGGAACAGCCTCCCAACTGGCCTCTCTACTCCCTTTTTCATCCTCCTTCAATCCAGTCACCAAGGAGTCTGAGAGAGTCTTCTAAAACAGATCTCTGACCATGTCACCCAAACCTTCGTAAATCCCTTTGATGGCTTCCTCTGCACTCAGGATAAACTCTCTTTTTGCAGCTGGTCACCACATGGTCCTTAACCACTCACATGCTGTCCACTCCAAATTCCTTTTAACTCCTTTGAGAAACTTCCAGGCCTTTGTTTACCATGGAGCACCACTCCTGCCTCTCACTTGCCTAGGAAACTCCTACTCATTTTTTTTTTTGCCCAGCCCTGGTGAAGTATCTTCCTTAGTGGTCCCATGGCAGCTAGTACTTCCCTTCAGGCACCACTCTCATTACAGGGGTTTCACCTTGAGTGAGCAATCAAATCTCCTAGAAAGTGCTTACATTACACAAATTCTTTTTTTTTTTTTTTTTTTTTTTTTGGTCTTTTTGAGACAGGGTCTCGCTATGCAGTTCAGGCTGGCCTTGAGCTCACTTTGTAGCCAGGCTGGCCTTGAACTCACAAGGATCCTCCTGCCTCAGCCTCCCGAGTGCTGGGACTACAGGAGTGTGCCACCACCCCAAGCCTTATATTATACATCTTGATACCTATACACATTGATACATGGGGTCTTCTCCAGACCACCTATATCAGAGCTAGCACCTGGGCATACCTGCCAGATGACGCTAATCTGTAGTCAGTTTTTGACCCTTGTCATAGATGTTTAGCAGCCACAGCTGTAGTTCTTGGAATCCCAAGTGACTGCT